CCCCCCCCCCCAAACCCCCCCGGGGACCCCCCCCCCCCCCCCCCCCCGCGAGGCGCGCGCGTGTGGGGACGTACCTCTGTCCTCTGCAGGCCGTCGTCCCCACGGAGGTGAAAATCCGCTTCATCGACATGCTGTCAGAGACGGGGCTGCTGGTCATCGAGGCCACCAGCTTCGTGTCCCCCAAGTGGGTTCCTCAGGTAGGTCTTCGCTGGGCGTCAAAGCGCCTGTGAGGCAGTTCTGGATTGGGGGGGTCGACTCCAGCCGGCCTGCCAGGGAAAAGCTGGGTGCAGTGCCCACCTCTCCCACTCCAAGGAGAGCACCTCTGGAGCAGCCCTGGAAACATCATCAGGAGCGCAGATCTCTTTGCCTGTGGAAGAGCCGGCTGGCTGGGACCTGGATTTTCTGCTGGTCCCTTTGGGTCTCACGCAGGGCAGGCATCACAGGCTGCAAGAACTGCAGCAATCTAGGACTCTTGGTTTAGGGATGATACCACTTACTAGACCCGCTAGGAAATTGCAAAAATAGTCTTTTTCTGCAAGCTTTCAGAGCCCTTCATCAGGCTCTGGGGATAGGAAAGATAGTGAAAAGTCCCTGTAGGTAAGAAACAAACTTCGTTTTTGCACAGAGGGAGCTGGAGATAGAAATCTGTTCCTCTGGGTCCATGAGACTGGTTCTGAGTTGTGCAGATCAGGTAGGATCCCTTCCCTGGAGGTGTCCAGTGGCAAACAGGGAGCTTTAAAAATCTTTCTTATTGTTCTGCAGTGATGTTTAAAATCCAAAGTCAGCAAAAAATCAGCATCTTCCATGTTTGGGATGTATTTGGTGTTTGAGATGGAAAGAAATGCAAAAATCTAGAGCTCTTGGCTTAGAAATGAGACCTTTTATTAGACCAATTACAAAATCGCAAAAAAATTATGGGCTGCAAGCTCTCTCTTTTTTTATCATCTCCCGGAAAAGTGAACCCTTCTAAAGTCTCTCTCCCGGTGCTGCGCAGATGGCAGACCATGCAGAAGTCCTGAAAGGAATTGAGAAGTTTCCTGGTGTGAGCTACCCGGTCCTGATCCCAAACCTGAAAGGCTTCCAGGCAGCGGTAAGGGGGTTTGTCCTGGGCTTTCTAGCGTGTGCTGTGTCTGCCAAATATGCAGAAGACAGACATGTGCCTCACTGCAAAAGCCAGGTACCTGCTGGAAACGCTGTCACCTGCCACTTCCAATGCAGAAGTTGGGGTTTTATTTTCAAGTCTGTTCACCTGCTCTGGTATGTCCGCCTAGACAAGTCTCCTGTAACGACCACATTTCTGATCCTGGTTCATGCAGCAGAGGTGGCTTAGGTGCTGCCGTCACTCCCAGGACAGGCATGGCCATCTTGCACCAAAGCTTGTGCTTCTCTTGTGGGATGAGTTGAGCTGAGACACTGGGCTGTTGAAGAGAGTGCTCCCCTATAGAGTCCAGCAGCATTAAGAAAAACCTTGCTCTGCATTCCCATTGCAGACCAACTTAATTATATGCACTCTCTGCAAAATACCTTGAGGGGAAAAGGGAAAATTGTTTATCTCCAGTAGCAAATTCTTGGAGATTGTAACTGCCAGCAGAGTGAGTGTTTTGTGCCCGTAATGTTCTGTAACTGCATCTCAGGATTAAATAGCTTCATTGATTCCATGGGTATCTGTCAAGGATATAGGACTTAACAACTGCCCAGATTCTCATTCCACTGATGTTTCAGCTGATTTGCTGCCTCAAATCTTGCCAATCAGCAGGCACAATAGTAGCGCATTAGCTGCAACTTGTGAGAGTTGAGACTCCACAGTGCATCTTACACAGGGACATTGACTGGTCCAGTACAGTTATCTCGTGTGTTTAACCGCTTCATATTGAGGCAGCGGGAACTACGGGCCTCTGGTGTGTTTGAAGCCAATGTAATCGGAAGTTGTGGGTGCTGAGACCCTTACAGGATTGAGTCTTTACTAGATGTTTTGTTAGCAACAGAAATGAGTCCTTAAGTGCTTTTCTTATTTGGACCCTACGGACTTGCCTGCAGCCCTGATAACTTCAGTTCACAGGGGCTTTATGGCAGTTGCATAAATCAGATGCAAAATAACGTACTGCTCCAATCTCCCTGTCGGCAGGTTGCAGCAGGTGCCAGAGAGGTGTCCATCTTTGGAGCAGCATCAGAGCTCTTCAGTAAGAAGAACATTAACTGTTCAATAAATGAGAGTCTCCAGAGGTTCAGTGAAGTGATGGAGGCAGCAAGAGCAGCAAACGTTCCAGTGCGAGGGTAAAAGGAACTGCTGGTTTGAGTGCTGGGCAGACTAGTTTGTAGTGGTGATGTCAAGTAAAACTCCTGGGGCTGGAGGAGTGCCAAGTTGGTATGAAAACCGGGGCCTTTCTGGTCTCTCACTGAAACCAGTGCAGCCTGTGACCCTCACTTCCGTCTCCAGTTCCTAGTAACAGAGGACTGGGATTTAGGCTGTTCACATTCTGCTTCCCATCCTCACAAGCAAGCCGTGAAATGATTCATGAGTTTAGAAACAGAAGCATCCCAGTCCCTCTTCACTAGACAAATGCAGTTCTGTTATCACCATCAGCTCCCCTACAGATGTCCCTTGTTAGAAGTTATCCCAGTAGAGAGCATGGTTGGTCCCTTGAATGCTCTTTTCCCAGTGCTTTTTTTGGGGGGGCGAGGAGGTGAGTGAATCAGTCTTCAGCTTGGAGGAAAGCAAAACTTACCACCTTTTAAAGCTGTGGTTTTCTTAACTGTATTTGAGCTCTATCAGAGGAGTGCTTCATGTCAGTCCTGGAGGCACAAATCTGTGCTGTGTTGTGTGATGCACTCTTAAACACCTGTCAGGGTAGCTGACACTCCCTTCCCTTCCCTTCCCTTCCCCACAAGTCCCCATGGTGTGACTATTTATGCTGGGAAAATCATTATGGGAGCTCTTGTGCCTTTATCTACCTACTTCAAACCATCAACTTCTGGAAAAGGGTTGAAATTTTCCATGATGTAAGAATGTGGGGTGGTCCTTATTGGGGCTGAATGAACCCATCTTTATCTCCCTGGTTCTCCTGCTGATGTTGGTCTTTTGCTGCAGGTACGTGTCTTGTGTTCTTGGCTGCCCTTATGAAGGCAAGATTGCCCCTGCTAAAGTAGCAGAGGTGAGTACAACTGCAGAATCCTGGAGCTCTTCTAATCCCCTGTAATGTTAAGAGCAGAAGCAGGTGCTGTGCCCTGCTGAAGATAGAATGGGGCCCTAATTGCTTGTGGAGATCACCTGTAGAATCAATGAATGCATCCCTCCCCCGCCACCAAGAATGAAAGGCTTCCTGGCCAGTTGCCACCTTGCTGAGAAGTGAATGTGAATCTGCCTGGGGCAGCAACAGAGCAGAGCACTCTGAGGGGTGTGATCAGAGGTGGTGTTCTTCACTTCCTGCTTGCAGCCCTGTGCGCCTGATATCCATGAGCAGTGTAATGCTTGCTCTGTTCCACCACAGAGCTAGCTGCACTTCAGAGCCAGGCACAGCGATGATGGGTATCCATGCACGAAGTACTACAGGACCTCAGGGAGAAGAACTGGCTTGCCACTAACGTATCATTTCCTTGGGCAGGTGGCGAAGAAGATGTATGCGATGGGGTGCTACGAGATTTCCCTTGGTGACACCATTGGGGTCGGGACTCCTGGGAGCATGAAGGAGATGCTGTCTGCAGTCATGAAGGAGGTGCCTTTGGGGGCTCTTGCTGTTCATTGTCACGACACCTACGGGCAGGCTTTGGCCAACACCTTAGTTGCCCTTCAGGTAAAAGCACTGCTTTGTTTTGAATTGGACCCTACTTAAAGCTTTTTTCCCTTTGTGTGCCAAAGAGGGTCCTGCATCCTCGGTGCTGAGGGCAGCTCTTCCTGACAGGGTCACTGTCCCATGCTGTCGTGGTCGCTTAGCTTGAGCAGGCTACAAACCACACAGAACCTTTCCCCTCTGAATGGTGTGTGGAATGCAAAGGATGGAGGGGCAGGGAGGGACCCTTCCAGAACAGCGTGACCTTTCTTATGGCCTAGAGCTGCGGCGTGGCTGCCCTTGGGTGCTGTGTGCTCAGGCCAGACATAAGGAACTTCCCAGTATGGGGCAAGTGCAGGATGGGCAGCAGCTCCCTGTTGGCCTGAGCAGCTGATGCTGGGTGTTTACACAGCACCTTGCTAGTGACAGGAGCCACAAAGCCTGCTCCGATGTGGCAATAAGAGATGGGAGCTGAATTCAAGAGTCCGTACTCCCTTGACTCAGTCCTGGGCTCTGCTCCTATCTCTGGGCTGTTGTTGCCTGTATTGGGGCAAACCAGTATAAGTGGGGTTGTGAGTGGTGGGCAGAGGTCCCTGCAGGCTTTGGTTTGGTTCCTGTACGCCAGCTCCTGGGGCTTTTGGCCTGGAGTTTCAGACTAGCAGACTATGTGGGGCATGGTGTGGGCAGCACTGATTTGAGTTGGTGCTGTTCAATGTTAGATCCCCTAGCAAGCAGTTACATTTAATACAGCGTGTTTTGCTTCAGGATTGCCAGGTGCTATGGAAAAGGAAGACCTATACCTCTTGCATAGGGAGGTTGTCACATGCCTTGTCTCCAGGCTAGAGAGCGCTCAGGGCCTGGCTGGATCCTTGCTCGGACCTGTTGTCCAGGAGGGCCAGAGCTGAAAGCAGTTGTTTGTGTTTGTTTCCAGATGGGCGTGAGTGTGGTTGACTCCTCTGTCTCTGGTCTAGGAGGCTGCCCCTATGCACAAGGAGCCTCAGGAAATGTAGCCACAGAGGACCTGGTATACATGCTTGATGGGCTCGGCATTCACACGGTGAGTCTGGCCAGCTGGAGGTTGCCGCCCTGGGGTGGATGTGTGCCTGCATTTCCATTCAGAGCTTGAATGCCTGGTTTTAAAAGCTTAGCCTGCCACACCTCAAACCATAGCAGGTGTGGCTGCCACGTGGACAGTGAGGCTCTGTTTAGCTGAAAGAGCCCTTGTTCTGTGTCCTGGCAAGGACAACGGAGCAGATTGGAAGCAGTAAGTTTGGATCCTAAGGCTGCAGTTAAAATGAATGGCCATAAAACTCAGCCGGGCTGGGGAAGAAATAGGCCTAGTAATGGAGGGGATAGAGAATGGTCAGGTCTGGCCGGTGCCCTCAGGATTTATTCTCATCCCTTTCCTGTGTCTGAGGTTGTCCACCTTCCTCCCTTCTTTTTCTCCCAGCCCCTCATACTGATGCTTGGTTTGCTGCTCCCTGTCACAGCTGCACCAGGGAGCAGCAGTTGTTAAGAGCATCACCAGAACAGTGTCCTCTTCCTCCAGTTGTCTCTGAGTCTGTAAAAATTAATAGCAGGTGACAGTCATTTGGATGCAACTGGGGGCAGGTGCAAGCTAATCCTATGTCTTGTAAAGGGTGTGGATCTGCAGAAGCTGATGGACGTGGGTGCATTTATTTGCAAAGCGCTGAACAGAAGATCCAATTCCAAAGTGGCCCAGGCCACCTGCCGCCTATGACGCCTGCCAGCTCAGCCTGGGACAAGTCAGTGAAGCCCACAGCCATGAAGACCTGGAGTCAGCCAAGTTACATTTGCTCTCTGGGTTGCTCTTAAATACCCCTTTTTTGGGCTCAGGACTGAGTAGAGGGAAGGTCACCCAGCAGAATCCACAAGTGCCATAACAGCCCTAGCCAGGCACCCTAAATTGCCCCCTTGTGAAGGGGAGGCCAAGGCTATGAACACACAGCAGCCTGCTTCCCCCCACCCTGTGCCCAGGCCCTTGAGCCACTTGTCTGCTCAGGGAGACTCTGTCTGGAGGGGTGGCTGTCATAAGCTTCACGATACCAGGCAAGTATCGGCATGTCCAGTTAGACACCCCAGGCTGTCTCCAGGGGTGCGATGGGGTCCTCTTCTCCCACTGGGAGCAAAGACTCATGCTGGAAATACAAGGAAGTGCCTTTCATGGGACCAAGCTGCATGCCAAGGTCCTGCTCTGGACCTTGGCTCCTGGCACTCTCGGGTCCTCGCTAGTGTAGAAAACCACTTGTGTTCTGGTTCTGCATGTGTCTGTGCTACGAGAGGAGTCTTCTTGACCTGGAAAAATGCACTGACATTGGACTGAGGTGCAGGGCTACTGAAGACAGGGCTGCCCCTTGGTGAAGTGCCTGGGCGAGGGAATGGCTCCAGCAGCTCCCGCCTGGCAGGTGGCTGAACGCCTGTGGGGGGCCGGGCACCGCTCCTTCTGTAATGAATTTCAGACAAATAAAGGTTACTTGGAAGAGCCTGGGCCTGGTGCTGGGGTCTGCACCCCTCAGGTGGGGGCCTGTGGGTGCCATGTTGGGGTAGAGCAGTGCCCAGGGGGCTGGGAGAACTGGGCCCAGGGCCGAGGGAAGTGGGGCCTCTTGCCCCAGGGCTGCCTGAGCCTCGCCCCCTCGCCCCTTCCCCCTCTGGCCCTTTTACCTGCACTGCGGGGGGGGGCGCATGCTCAACCCCCAAATTGTTTTCTTCCTCCGCCTCCGGCACCAGGCCGCCCCAGGCGCCCGCGGCTGCTCAGAAGAGCCGGGGCCTGGCGCCGGTGTGGGGGGCGGGGAGGCCGGGCCCAGCGCCCCAGGCCGCCTCTAGGAGGCGGTGCCCTCCCTTCCCCCCCTGAGCCAGCCAATACGCAGCGCGGTGTTCCCTGAGCCCGCCCTTTCGCATCCCCGCCCTTTTTGGCTGCGTGGCGCGCCTGTAGCCGGGGCGGAAGTGACGCGTTTGTCTGTGGAAGCAGCCGCGTGGCCCCGGGGCGACAGTAGGAAGGAGGCTGGTACGAGCGCCCGGGGACGATGGCAGAGAAGGTGCTGGTGACGGGTGGCGCCGGCTACATCGGTAGCCACTGTGTGCTGGAGCTGGTGGCGGCCGGGTACGTGCCCGTGGTGATCGACAACTTCCGC